TAAATCTATTTTTTTTTATTAGACCACAGAGACAAGGACTACACATATTTTATTATTTTATTTAATTAGATTTTTTGGTAAAAAAGTTATATATATTATATTTTTTCCATAATTATGAATTTAATTCTGATTTTTGGAATTTTCAAGTATATTTAAGGACCATAATATAACATAGTTCAAAATACCTAGGGTGACTCACACATAAATTTAGTTTTGGCTAACGCAAATTGAACAATTTTTTATTTATATACATATAGGGTTATCATTGCTTACATAATATTTTTTAAATAATTGGTATACAGTGTTATTCCCCAAGCACAACTTTTTTGTTCAATATGTAGTTATTCAATGCCTGATTTTTGAAATTTTTTTATATGCTTAAAAGTTAAAAACAATATTTTCAAATGCTTGAGATTTTTTATACCATTTAAGAGGTGTTCTATAGTGATATACATATTTTATACAAATGACAACCAATATTTTTTTCTGTCGATTGTTAAGCAGATGACATTTGAAAATTTCGAATGAGTAGTTAACTAGTTAACACTTTTCTTAAGTTTGGTTTCACGTCCGTCTGTGATCAAATCTTGCGCGCTCGATTTGAGGCACTTTTTGAAGATGAAAAATTCTGGAAATTGGTATAGACCTTGGTCTTGGATGACAATACAATAATCCGTAAAAAAAAATTTTTAACTAAAAAGTAGAAAATAAAAATAAAAATTTTTTTTTAAAAAAACAAAAAAATAATGAAAAATTTAAAAGTGTGTGGCGCTCTTACACTTGACATATTATACCACACACTTTTAAATTTTTCATTATTTTTTTGTTTTTTTAGAAAAGTGTTTTTTTAAAAAAAAATTTTTTTAATTTATTCAACTCTGTGTTTAAGGATAATACTATAATTGGTCATAATAATATGTTTAGAAGATAAAATGGGGTTATGATGGTTTTAAAATTATAGGTAGTAGTTATTAATTAACATTAAATGATCAAAATTTTATATTAAATTAAACATTACATCTATTTTATGTTTTTGTTGAACCATTTTTTAGAAAATAACCTTTAGTTAATAAATTTTAACAACTCAAAAAACTAGTCGTTTTATTTAATACGTCAAGTTTTTTTTTTTTTTGAAAAACCATCTATTCAACAATTTACAGAAAAAAAAAATGGTTATAATTATTAATAATAATAAAAAAATATTTTTTATCTCCAATAATAAATTACAAAATAAGTATACATTTTTTTTAAATAGCTGAATCATATCTAAATCCATTATAAGGTATGCCAGAGATGAGAGTTCCATTTATAAATATAAAATTTGATTATTAAAAAATAATAGTATTTCAGAAATTCTCATTTGAAAAAGGTTGGAATAACAACAGGACACTTCTTAAATAAATAGTATAAAAAATATAAATATTTTAAAGTATATAATCTTCTATATTTATATATTAAACGTAAAAATACCACAAAATACAATTTAAATAAATTCATTACTAAAGGAAAAACACGAGGGTGGTATGGTTGGAGAATCAAAAGGTTTATACTTTATTAATTTAATTCATGATAAATGATGGAATAACCCCAAAAGTGATTTCACACATTAAATTATAATGACTCTTTAATGTAAAAATATCAACGAAATTGCCAAAATTGTATGTTTCATGATGCATGGTGAATATAGAAATGATCAAATGGAATCACATATTATCATAAAAATCAATCATAAAGCAAGTACATAATACATTGTCGTATACATGTATAAAATCACTTTCCAATCGTTTACAGATATCCGTGGACAAAGAAATACACACAAAGTGGTATCATATAAATATATTTTTTTTTACGGTACAGCATCAACTAATAGGTAATTATTATTATTATAATTATTAGCTCGCTTCAAAAATTCTAAATAAAATTCTTAAAATGTTTTACTTTAACACAGCAATGTACCAATATTGCCTACACGTTGCGCCGTACGATACTAAAACAGTATTATACGGTTCCTGATGTATAATATTATAATTATTATTATATTATAATATGTGTTTTGCTGCAATTCGTTGTGTAATTCGTTCTTGGCACGGTAGCACGGATCCGGATAAGGATATTAGAGCCGTATAAGTACATTAACACCAAACGCTTTTCATCCCTTTTAAAAATATAATTAAATATTTATTTAAATGTTAGTGTGTCATGTTTTACGCGAGCGATAAAATTATGAGTACGCGATAAAATGTTCAACTTAATTTATAAATTATTTATAATTACCGAATTAACAAGATAAAAAAAAAAACAAATTAATTTGGAATGTCTAAAAAATGAAATATGAAATGCCTTCATCATTTTGCAGTCTTCGTTAATGCAATTTGGTTAATTGGTTTATATTTTATCATAATTGGCATACTCGCCTTTTTGATATGAAACAGTCCATGTATGAGAATAACGAAATCATTTACGCAACGACAGTGTAACTGAGTAAAATACACGATAGTGAAAATAATATTTCTCTCCATTTCATCTTGTCCTAGTAAAAATAGAGGTTTTATTTTTAAAATTTCAAGATCATTGATAATTCACCATTTTTGAAAAAGATTCTAAGTGAAGAACTATATTAATATCAGCTATCATTGGGTTCACATTTTTTTAAAATATTGTCAAGTCTATAATATACCATAACTGTCCATAACTAATAATGATAACCAGGTACCATCGGGAATGGTTTACATTTTAAAGGAATATTATTTTCTAAATTATGACAAAATAAAAATACGGCACTGTTTCAGTGTATCTCGGTTTTAGTGTACAGATATTTTTAACGACTACCTTATTAGTGGTTAGGTCGAAACCAAGGGACTTTTTAAGGCTGTATTTCTACAAATTTAACATTATAGGAGTAAAATGTTTAGCGGTTATTTATTTATTATATGAATATTTATTTTAGGTAATACAGTTTTAGATCGACCGCTATGTTATTATTGTACCTAATGATAAATACCTAATATTATATGTTCATTAATAATAAGTAAAAAAAAATTGTTATATTTTTTTTTGACATAAACAGTCTATACTATTTTTAGCACAATAAGTTTATATTATGATAAAAGTAAAAGTAGAATAACATGAATGTTGTGAATAAGCAGCCACCCATTAGTAGTGGCTCTTGGCTAAAGTAAAAAATTAAAAGTAATATTATTTAGTTTGTCTTTGCATATATTATATTATATGTATATATATAATATGTATTGTTTGTTTTGCACGATGTGCATTAATAATAAAAACAAATCTATTTTACTAGTTAAAAGTTACTCAACTCACTACATATAATAATATGTATGTTGTATACATGTTATTATTTATTGTTTTGACTAATGACGTTTACCGTAAAATACTCATTAATATCGAATTTTTCACTAAATCGTTGATCGACGTAAAAAATCAAATAATGATTTAAAAATATTACATCATTTTTATTTATATTTCAATCATACAATTAATACTTAATTAAACAAGGCAAGAAATACAGGGCACTATAAATGACTGAATATTACATAATATTAACATATTATTATTATTTAAATTATTTAAATTATATAATAATATAACTTACTAGGTATTATAAAAATAGTCGGTTCGACCATAAGTTTACAGTCAAACAACTCACACGGATAACGATTTTGTGTAGAACCGTTTCGTATTTATTTTTAAATTGTTTTTTCTTCGTACCTACGATTGGCATAGGTGTATAATATTATGATTATAGTTTATGGACATTATACACATTAAATACAATAATAATATATAAAAAAAAAAAAAACAAGTCGAGAAATGGGTTACAGATTCATATATACCAATACAATAATATTATAGTATTATTATACACAATAGCGGAGACCTGAAGCTTTTAACGCGATCGTCGGCCAACCTATACATTTAGATTTCTGTCATTGTATACCTACTATTGTATTGTGAATTATTATTTTTTTTTATCCTCCTTGACTCGCCGCATATTCGCATAATATTATTGTACATTTCGGGTACGACAATCGTACCCTCCGACGATAGTAATACTATTATTAATTCGTAAGACGTAATATCTACACAATTTAATATACAATGTGGAAATCTATAGTAAAAGTTAATGATATTAAACTGGTTTTGACTAACGGCCGTACTGTCTCGACGGACCGGACGAGTATAATAACAATAATTATTATTATCGTCATCGTGTCTTGTGATGTCGAAAGACGACGGCAGTCGACCGCATGTGCTGCTTATAATACAGTAATAATAATAATAAAAATAATTATTATAGTAAATATTATATAATAATAAAAATAATAATTACAATAATAATAATAATAATAATAATAATAATAAAAATAATAATAATAATAATAATAATAATATAATATACGACTGCAGCCCTATGGGCCCTAAGGCCCAAGTGATAGTACAATATTATATACGAGAAATTTTCAGATCGCCGATGAACACACTAAGAATTGAATTAATTTTCTTTGTTTTTGAGCTGTCGTCGGAGTCGCGCGAAACAAAATACTCGTAAATAATAATAATAATAATAATTATAGGTCTCGAGAAGTCTTGAAACTTGAGAAAAAAAACTACACAACCATAAGCGATGGTATATCATATTATTATTATCGTGACTGTATCCTGGGAATCAAATAATGAGTCAGTCAAAAACCTAGGAGGTCGTTGAAAATAAAAACGAACGATGTCACACGATCGGCGGTCGAATGAACGATTTTCGGGTTTGGTCGGTACACATATATCATAATAATATTGTACCTACACTGTAATTTATCTATATTATTATTGTGGTGTTATATTATTATTTAGCGCGTTTTCGTTTCGGTTGTTGTTGATATATGGGGCGCGGACCCATTCGTGGATGGTGACATGAGTGATTTTGCAGTGGTTTGGTGGTGGGGGTCAGGGGCAGGGGGTTGGAGAGCTGTGAGCCTATATTTTTATCACGCGTTTGCCGACTTGGACACGAACGCCCTATTGCGAAACGAATCGTCAGACATGAACGCGCTGCAAGCCGCTCCGTTGACAGGTGGTCGCGAGTACATCTCGTCGCTGCCATCGGTGTCCGTGACAGCGGGCAGGAAGCACGGCGTTGACGTCAGGTTGGACCAGAAAGATTTGTTTTGGTTTGACGCAGGTACCGGCAAGTCCACAGGCCGGTTGTGTGCCCGGTCGTCGTCGTCCTTCTTCTTTTGAGCCACCTTCTTCTTATCCTCCTGCGTAAAACGTTCGAAATTAATTTTAAAACTCTTGATAATATCGTATACTACGAGTTTTGGATATTAGTGTTCAGAGATGACTGGACTTATAGTGGAGCAGATCGCACGCAGTACCAAATCAAAATATAATATAGTGAATAGTATAGTGACTACTTATTTAGTGTGTTGGCAAACTTTTAGAGCCTCCAAGAATTAGTTCATTAAAATAGCCCAAGGAGGATGACCACCACATTGCCCCTCACCCTCACAAATCCGGAACAAATTAGTGGTTTACCAAAAATCAAAATGTTCCTTTTTTTCGAAATAGTTGTATTTTTGAAATATTATAGGAGGAACTATTTGGAAGTACCTATACTTAGTATGCCATCGTACCTGAAGGCAATCTTTTTTATCGTTAGAATTTTCTCGCGATCCTCTCAACTTACCCTTTTCTTGTACGATTGTTGGTAGAAGTTGTAGAACAGGAAGTAGAACATGACGGCGTGCATCAAGATGATCCAAGCGAATGCCTTCGGGTAATCGCACTCAGTGAACAGCAACTGGGACGCATGGATGAACACCATAATGAATTGGACCTGAAACACGAACGGAATAACGTTGAATATATTATCGGTCTGAAGTTTGCATTTTATATACAGCCATATACTGCAGGTTGCAGTGATTTGTGACCCACACGAATATATTATGTTGACATAATAATAATAATATTTTTGTACCATTTGGAGCACAGTCAAGTATTTCTTCCACCAGAGGTACTTCTGCATTTGAGGACCAATTGCAGCCAACATGTAGTACGAGTACATGATGATGTGCACGAACGTGTTGAGAAGTCCGAAGAACGTGCTGTGACCGCCTATATATGAAAATAATTAAAATAACGTAATTAAATTGAATTTCGACGCAGGTCCATCTGGTAAGTGGGAGGTAGACTCACCGGGTGTGAACTTGACGCCGAACCACACGCTCATCGGCATGATTCCGTGGTGGATGACGTGCAGGGTGGATACTTGATCGTATTTCTTGCGCATAACGAAAAAGAACTAAATAAAACACACACAAAAACAACCATTAATATTCGATACGATCGAGTTTACCAATTATTGTAGATCGCGAAGCGTATTCACTTACGGTATCGAAGAATTCCGTGAATTTAGAAAAGTAGTACCACCAGCAACCTCGAGCTATCTATAAATTAAAATCGAAACGTGTAAGACGGCATTATGGATAGGCAATATCATAACACACAGTGTATAGTGGTCGCGCAATTTATTACGTTGCGCGACCAAAATTAAATACAAATATAATATAATTAATAATTATGGTGTGTAACACCAAAAACGCTGAATTCGTAATTCACCCGTAACTTTTGTCTCAATGTTGGAAAACAATGTTTTTTTTCTTTTACTTACATCAGCCGTCATCCCATTCCGATTTGATGATCAGTCACATTTTTTTTACGTTTGCGCCTCCCCCAAACCCTACCTTAGGTTGTCTAGGGTCAACATTGTTAGAAAGAGTTAGTCTGTGGATATTATGACAATATGACAGAACAAAGTTGTATACTATAATTGTGTTTCTATCAATGTTGTCCCCAAACATCTCTCTGTGCTCAGTCCATATTTATGTAATACGTCGATGTTTAAAACATAGGCGTTCTTTATGAGGGACACTCTTTAAAAAAATTATATTACGTTACATCGATGGACTTACTCTCATGGCGGCCGGGGATGTGGAGTAATCGACAGGTTCGCATCGAAGACTGTAACCGTTGCCCCATGCACCGTCCCACGCTTCGAAGAAGATCCACGAGGAGAATATGACTTGCAGTAAATTATAAACGATTAATGTTTTTCGCAGTTGGAAAGGTTTGCGGTCTCTCATCAACCTTGGTCCCAAAATCTTTACGATGAACGCATATGTCAGGCACATGATCATGGTAGGTAAGGGACTGCTCATAAGGAACCAATCATTAACCCTTTTGTCTGAAAATATAAAATGTTTAGGTAAATCCCCGGGATACAAAACAAGACATTAAATTGATTCTTCTAGGATACATTTAAAAAGAAACGAAATTAATCAGCATTTCCTATTCGTTAGTCCAACATAACTGTAACTATAATATTATAGTAATTTTAATAACTCTTTATTGAGAATATCATAACTCGGAATCAACCGATTATCACTACAGAAATATTAAAAGTTTCGAATTTAATGTTTAAATGCTATTTTATAGTAGACATTAATATTTGCTGTCGATGTAATTATGTATGAAAATGTGTGGATATATTTAACATAGTAATTAATTTAATTTAATTAAAATGCTCAACGATTTCCTTTTTAATGAAATACTGTTTAAAATCTTTATAAAATATATAAGATCATATTAAAAATTACTTACCACTGTAATCGTTCATTAGGGTGTTATACCCTTCGATTACAGTGTTCAACATCTTGGCGATTGTATTGATGTCCTACGTATGTGTATTCAACCTATATAAAACAAAAAAAAACCAATTTAGTAAACAGATTTTAATTAGTCACTATTTATTGTGGTCAATCATATTATCCTCAATTTTGATGATACAATATAAGTCATTATTCACAATAGGTATTCAATTATTTAGATTAGATATTTTGGTATGGTCATATTAAAATAGTATTTTAATACCATGTACTTAAAGTAACACATATAAACATATCTAAAATATTATTTTATAATAACAACTGTCAAATATATAGTATATTTATAATAAATACTAATAATATTATAATTTTGGGAAATAATAAATTAGTTTTGACATTTCATCACGCCCTAAATGTTAATAGTATACAGTCTGTACATATTATTATGTAAAGATCAGTTATTGTACAATGCATTCATAAGTACCTATAATAGTATTTTATACGCGTTAACACTGTTTAAAAACTACTCAAGGTTAAAATAGGAAATCGTATTTTGTTATATATTTTACATTAGACACCTGATGCGAAACACGATTCCCCGATGATAAGCTAATGACGGCTGATAATAAAATAATATATTTCAATAAATAATAATATTAACACGTTGATTAAGAATAGAAAAAAAAAATGGTTTACTCATATTATTATATTGTGTTATAATACTATAATATAAGTGTCCGATTGCAAAACGAATATTATAATCTAAACTATTTCTGTGAGCGTTTTTTTTATTTTTTCTGGACAATACGATCACGACATCTCGTAAGTTTTTTTATCTCCGTTGAAAAAATAATGATACTAGTAAAAAAATTACAATCGAACTATAGAATTTCGTTTTGAAATCATGCGGATTTGGGCAGAAGTCGACGAAAGTATTGCACTTCGACGTGCCAGACGGTAGTATAGGAGTGTGTCACCGGACGACACATTAAAGGTAGCCATATAATAATAAAAAATTATAAATATATCATAATTAATATGTGGCACACACGACCGTCGACCAAAAAAATGATTACACATTATTGTTATTATTATTATTATTATTATTATTATTATTATGTGCGTATACTCTCTCCTGCACGTCGTGGCAGTCTTACGCGTGTGGATTTTCGACAAGCGCTTCGTCGTTACAAAACTAAGGATTCGCGGGTTATTTTCCTTCTCCACTTCCACCCAGTCACCCCACCAAACGCCTCTCGAATTCGTATATAACAATATTATAATAACGAGTATTGTTATTCCGCGTGATGGATCGTCGACGCAATCGTCTATATTAATTATCATATTATTATTATTACATAAAATAAATAAGTCATGACTTCAGTATTATGTAGTGTATAAAAAAATCGGGTACAAGCAAATCGACTTTGTGATGGTGTTTATATTATTATTATCATTATCATTATTATTATTATAATGATTTCGACGGTCTACAATATATTTTATTCGTTCGGGCCGGCCTTGGAAGGAATTACGAACGTCTGCAAAACGAACTGTATTATATTAGTTTATATTATTGTGATGTAGGACTGTGTAGTGGTAAAGAAGAAGAAAAAACGTCACCGTGCGACGCGTATGTTTACTACAGTTGATGATTGCACAACTGCACAACCGTCCAAGGTAGGTAGGTACTTACAAGTAAAGTAAGCAAGCAAGAAAGTATATTATAACACATTAAGTACACATTTTATACGCTGTTTTGAATATCATAATGTGCAATAACAATATTATAATGCATATACCTATAGTTGCAGGTAATGTGCCGCTGCACCGGATTAGGTTTAATAAAAATTCGTGAAGTGTGCTCCACCGCGCTGGCATGAATATTCCGTCAGTAATAAAATATAAATTATTGCGTCTGTAAACAGGTGGAAATTTGCTGCGTATTTAAATATTCTCCACGTAGAGACGAGATGTGCGCAGTGTGTATCTCCAAAAGTTTCCGAAAAAAGAAAAAGATTTGCTATTATCTTGAAACTATATTATATTATAATTTATGAGCCATAAGGTATGGATAATTCTTCCTCGTTTGTTTCATCCTTCAATAATTTTTTAACAATATGTTATATTTTGAGTGGAGCGACGAATGTATTGATTACAATGATGTGTATTTTTAATTTTGTGCCTTAAGACACCTTTTCTATAGTAAAAAATGTTCCGATGGTCGGCTTTGAAGGAGCAAATTGTACTTTGTTGGATTAAAAGTAGACATTTCTCAGTACTTTTTAATATAATCATCGAAAACAAAAAAAAACAACATAAACATATTTTGTTAAAATGTTTATATTATTATTAAAATAATTGTTTGGTAACCATGGTTACTTAAAACTGACCATTTTCACTGGGGTTCGAAGTTCGTTGTATACAATGATTCATCATTGAATTCAAATTTAACACATCCATTACACTACTACAGTGACCCATTCAATGACGAGGTACATCTAACATTTTAACACCTACGCTGTACCCAAGAGCAGTTATACCTACTTGCCCACTATTTTTCTCTTGTATATCCGTAAGACGTAAAACCTATAGGTGAATTTGGTGTTTCAATATGACGTATTAATATGTACAACACAGTAGACCGAAGATACGTCTTGAAGTGTGAAACAATTTATGAATGAAAATAAGTTAAAAGCGTATCGGCCGTTGTCCGACTTGGGTTTCATTAAGTATTAAATTCCATAATGATCTCGGGTATGTATAATATTATCAAGACCCCCTGCACAGTCCCACTGTCCGGTTGAATTTCTGGGGGTACCGTGGGTCTTACATTTCGTATTCTGAGCATGTTATTTTCTTGGAAATGTCGAAGAATGAAATATTTTATCGAACATAAACCTTAATAATATACTATTAAAGTTAATATTATAATATAGTTTATGACTATAAAATCGTACTAGATAGGTACTTAATACAGTGGTTCTCAGCCGGAGTTCCGTGAACTGCCCTGAGATGTGCCTTCAATTTATTGAAAATATAAACTATTCATACGCCATATTATAGTGTATTAGTGTGTAGGGTGTTTCGGGATTTTTCTAAAATACCCAAGTTGAGACCCACACTGACTTGAATGGAGGGCTGGTTTCTGAAGTCGATGACATGATCCATTCCTCCCCCCCCCCATTGTGAGCATTATCAAAATCGTTTCACCGTGATGTCACACACGACAGATAAGATACGAGAAACGGACCGAAAACCAACTTGTCTGTTTGAGCGTGACGTCAAATACTTCTGCAGTGTTATCGGAAAACCGTAAGAGGAGGTTCTTCACAATAAGAAAAAAAAAATTTAATATTATTATATTGTGTTATTCACGCGTTATACATTGAATTTCATATTGTGGCGATAAGCAAATGTGATTACGCTTTGATGGTTATTTTTCGTTTGTATAATATAGTCTCCGTTTCCGAGATCGAAACCACTGCTGCAGACTGCAGTTCGTTACATACTCGAACTACCAGCTGCATGACGGTTGTATCATAGAGGTATTCATGTGTAGTATATTAGGTATATGTACCACGACGAAGCAAAAAATATAAACAAAATAACACAGTAATTTAGAGTTAAAATCAATGTTGACGAGATATGAAAATAATATATTTTTTGCTGTGAGGCCGACACGACTCGTTTAAATTCAGTACGGTATAATAATATTCCACGCGTGCCATGATGGTTTTGTGTACCTATATAATATAATAATATGCAAATGAAACAGCGTATAATATATAGGTACACTGCAAAGCCGGGTTCACAACTCCGTCGTCCGCAGTGTCGTTTGCCAGTTATCGTATTGGTCGTCGTAATCGTGGTATCACATTATCACTATAACCATGATCTACCTGGAAATTTCCACGGTAGCTTTTGGACACGACACGACGGACGACGAGGCCGCGAACCCGCGCGGTGCACGATTTATATAATATAATATTATAATCGTTTTTCGGTGGTTTTGGATCTCGATACGTCCCGTCGCCACAATTAACTACAGGTAAAAAATAATACTATGGTATAATATACCTACCTATTATTGTATACCGCTCATAACACCACGGTCGGTTCAATCAGGACCCACGAGTGAAAAACGATTTGCCGCGTACACGGAAAACTGTTCGAAAACGGTGTGTAACATAACGCGAGTAGACGTGAAATCGCGACGGGTCTGAGTACACGAGGCTATGAGATGTTTTGCTAAAATAAATAATATATTATGTGTCCCCGTAGAAAACGACGGTAAATGCACGTATGCGGCCGCGGAGGAGGAGAGTGCGTACGAAAACAAAATAATAATTATATTGTGCCGCGTAACCACTATAACCATTGTATATGCGTATACTACAATAATAATAATAATACATGATAATGTATACAGGGTGATCATATTGTTGCTCGGAGCTCGATGTTCCTCAAACCCGACGACCTAAACCAACTCAACTCCATCCCTACGCGGTTCTAACCACGAAGAAAGTTTAGGTTACGGGGTTATTGTTAAGGAATTTCGAGTGGTGTCTTGCATTTATTTTAATATTATAATCACCCTGTATACGTGTATACATAATAATATTATAGTATACTAGTAATTCTACGGTGTACGTTGTACGATCACATACTTTAACGGTCATTAAAAATCAAAAATAAGAAGGAGAAGAAAAAAGAGGAGAAGAAAGAGAAAATAAGAATAAGAAACAACCCTCGTGGCGCAGTAAACAGTTTATAATATTATTCTGTATATAGTATTGTAGACCAATGTTATTCCAAGTTGAAGGGACCTATGAAAAATTCGAATTACCTACTGAGAGTTATGAAAAATGTGATGTTATGTATATGTATTGTGTAATAAATAGGCGTAGGGACTTAAAGCTCTATAAGAGCTTATGCTGCATAATAAAATGACCAAATGTGCACTAACAAAATACCAAATATAGGTACTTTACTGTGTACACTTCAACCCCGAAGTTTTTAGTTTTTTAAGGTATAAGTTATCTCC